AAGCCCATAAGCAGGTTATCGTTGGCGTCCTTGTCGAAGATTCTGACGAATGATTGCTTGAACTGGGAGGATGTGAAGCTATCCGTGAGAAGCATATGTCCACCAGTGTAGTTGGCGAGATTCTTCATCTCCAGCATACCGACCTGGTCAAGACACCCAGCAAACAGGTCAACAATGTGTCCGTTGTTAGCGGCACGCTTGGCCATGCTGTCGTAGAACTATGTGCATCCGTTAGTATAGTATGAGAGCACTTCATGACCACATCAGAACCTACCTTGACAGCTTTCTTGTAGTACTTGATGTTGTCTCTATCAATATCGTGGTGAGAGCGGATAGGCTCCTTCAGCTCAGGGCCGACAACATGACCCGGGCCCTCAGTGGCCGGACCACTGGTGAAGATCATGATGCGTCCACCCGCGTTTTGGAAAGAGGTCTCGAGCAAACCAACGGCAACGCTAAGCGCAACACCAGTACATCTGAGAGGACGCTTGTCATTCGCAACAGGCCAAGGATCGCGCTGTAGCTGCTCGAGCACATTCGTGATCTGGAATTCCGCCTGCTGAACGGGGAGAAGGAATCGTGCCGCAGGTCCCAGAGGAGGGCGGGCGGGCTGCTGGGGCATGTTCGGCCGCACCCCAGATGCAAGACCAAGCATCTCCTGGACCTGCTTTGCAGCATACTCTTTGCTGCCGCGGAACACATACGACTTGGCACATTCGGTGTAGCCAAGCTCATGTACTTGAGCCTGTATCTCGAATTAACATTCCATTCTACCGTGACCGAATCGAGAGTTATCCCTACCATGGTGCCGAATGTGATCAGACCGACCAAGGCGTTGGCTGGCAACAGCGACAGACTCATGATCAACGAGTCCTTGACAGCCTGCAGGCTGTCTTCGTCCTGGCAGGTATCGACAACATAGACGAAGATAGGAGGGGCGGGAGCAGGGCGTGCCAGTTGATACTCGATCGTCGTGCTCATGGGATGAAGTTCCGGGGGTATTGTGCTCTCGGTGATATCCTTGTAGTGAGGGGGCAGAGGGTTGCGCATGAGACAGAAAGGGCAGATCCAGATGCGGGCACGAACGTCAACATTGCTAGATGATGTCAGTGAGAGCTTTACTTCATTTCGAAAACAACCGTCTAGCGTACGCATAAGGGTTCAAAACGGCCCGGCAGGGCGCTTTGCAGGTCACTGGCTCATATTGTAGCAATGGAGAGTCCGGCTTCTCCTTAAGGGGTGTGTAGACGGCACCAATGGGGACAACAAGTCGGGATGCTTCCTATGATGGACTGAGTTAGTGGCTGACGTGTATAATTTATCGATACCATAATGCCAACCATGCGAGAGCTTGGAAATGTGTTCCAGCTCAATCTGATGCCGTCGCGATCCTCAACGTCGCTCCATTGGTCCTTCAACGCTTCGTAGTCCATGTTGGCGGCGTGGTAAACGGGGCTCCGTTAATGGGGAAGAGTGAGGGGAGATCTCCTCGAACAATAACAATTCCAGAAGTGGAAATTTTGGAGCACCACAGGCTGAATATGAAAGAAAATGCTCCTATAGCAAACACCCAGTCTCGAAGCGCGCAACGCCAACAGCTGCTGTCCTGAATGATTATGCGGGGGATCAGGAGACTGTTGTGTGAAGCGGCGGTGCTGGCATAAGGCCAGGTTGCAGCACAACCGGTCTCTGCGGCCCGCCGTACCCCCACGCTAGTGGCCTTTAAATAGCGGCTCTTCTTCCTCCACTTTCCAAATTTTTTCTTTTCTTCTAATGAATTTCTTTCTTTTTTCACGCCGACATCATCTTTCTCAGCTTCTAGCCACCTCAATGGTGAAGTTGTTTACGCGTCGAGCGAAGAGTAAATCTGACCCGTTGCTGGGCACCTGGCTTTGAAAGGACGTTTTGTTCCTTTTGGATAATTTGGGAATCAGCTGTGGTCAAATCCCTAATTTCGTACAATTTATTTTCTTTCACAAACAATTGAATCTGTATACTGCAAGGTTGACTTCTACGTGTAATATCTACATTAAATGCGTGCCGAAAAAAATGGGTGCCGTATCCCAACGCAATGAACCAAGTCCGACGCCTTATGGACTAAAAACTTCGCAAGAAAAAGACAAACGCAATAAAAACATATCGTCGTGGACTCCCATGCAAGCTATTTAAGAACTCTTGGACGCCCGGGCTGTCTGCTTCAACAAGAAACTGCGCTTGAAGTAAGTGTTGGGGTGAACGATGGTGTCCAAATCCACTTGGTTCCATGAACCATCTTCCTTGACTCTTTTGATCTCGGTCTTGTGAGTCGATTCGAAGACTCTGTTGCAAGCGATATGATACCGCATTTTCTCGACATCTTCTCGCACTCCACGGAGAACTTCCTTGTCGTTGACGCCCGTGGTCTGAAGCAATCCAATGAGATTGTCGACCGAGTAATGGCGATAAGGGCATCCATGAGTCTGTCCAACTCCAGGGTTTGAATCGCCCAAAATCTTCTGGCATGAATAAGGAGGATATCCTCGACCCCGGCGATTGACATCGCCTCCCACATCACCATAGGCGTGGCGGATGTTGTACTTGTATCGAGAATTAAACTCATCATCCGTGAAACCCTTGAACGACTGGCGCCAGAAAATGATGCATTCTTCGAGTGACAATCCAATACCCTTGAGGAACAGGGTATATTGGAGACGGCCATAATGCTTGAGATGGTTGTTCTTCCGTAGGTTCATGTGGAGACTGCGCATACACAGTGGGAAATGTTGAGAAAGCTGGTCGATGTTGTTGGCAGTGATTGCAGCACCGTCAACAAACCCTTCGCCTTCCGAATAAACAGACTCGGCGCTTCCAAAGTTCTTTGATAAATGATTCAAAATTGGAGTTAGACGATCATCCTCATCCAACCGCGGTAGTGCCCGACTCGTGAGCTGGAGAATGTTAGTGATAGGCAGGATCCTGACAGGGGGGGTAGTGACCGTACCTCAAGCGCGCGTTCCAATCGGGCAGTGAACTCTGCAATAATCATGCTCAACTGCTCTCTCCCAGGTACATAGGCCTTGCCTTTATACAAGAACACAGATCTTCTCTCGACAAGCTCGGGTACTCGCTCCCAGTCCACTTTGTACCATGCCTCTTCATCCACACGACGTAAGCCTGGGGTGGCACCAATTAAATGCTCTGCCAATCTTTGTCTTTCATCATCCTCCACAGGCTCCCAGTCAAGGTTGAGACTCTCGATGAAAGCGCGCTTTTCCCTCGTGTCATCACGCTGGAAGCGGAATCTGAAGAGCATTGTTTCGGCTCTCACGAAGCGCCGACGAAGGTCTTCTGTGGCGGAGAAGGCCAAACGAAGGATGAAGTGTGAATAATGGTCCTTTTGGCGCTCATTCTTAAGTCGCTGGTCGGCCGCACCGTTGGAGGAGGATGTGTTGGATGATAAGGGGAGGTATTTTTGGAGGAGAGGTGTAAGATGCGTCTCTGTCTCCGCCGCGGACTTGTTTCGATAAGAGCAGGCCTCGATTTCAGCCAGTACTGTTGAAAATATGAGTTACAAAAATGGCCTTGGGGCTCCTGGGCTATATGGCTATACCTCTTAATCTGTCAATGGCCCATTGCTCGAATTGCTCGAGTGTAATCTCCTCCGTTGGCGGGACGTCGTAGAAATTCAGACGGTGCGGATAGTCTTGCTGCTTGAATGTGGGTGCAGCGAACTGCTTTTTCTTATGGTCGAGGTTGGCCCTTCTCTTAGGGTCAATCCTGAGAAAGTCACTTCGAATCATGATGAAAGCGTAACAGCGATTCTGATACCCGAACAAGTGTACTGCAATCTCCTCAGCGACCGCAAGACAAATTCGATGATAGATGACCTGGCCAGCTCTGGGCCCTCGCGAAGGACGCGGGAACGCGCCGAAAACGCGACACGGTCACGTGAAGATAAATGGCGGCTCGCTCAGGCCAACACTGCATCGCGGAAAGCAGCATGGCAGAGATTCCCAATCACATGCATGTACGAGAAACAGATGGGAGTGATCTACGTACTTGAGAAAGTTCCGAACATGTGATAATCTGTTCGACTTACTTCCGATATGAGAACCCGAAGAATGACACTACAGTTCATGCGCACAGACGGACAACATTTACGATACCCCATGCCGTGGCAGAAGCCCTGTTAGACGCAAGTGGATTTGACTACTCGCTGGTACAGTATAACTATCATGGATTGAAGATCGATTTCCTTGCGCCGTTTCGTTTCCTAGGCAAAGCGGATATTGCCTGCTGTACCTTGTATCCTGGCAGCTACTATATTGTCAGCAGATGGCATTGTCGCGGTTTTCGCCCTGCATGCGCACAAGAATAGGCTTGACAAGCTCTCAACTGGCCTCACTTATATTTCCAATAGGGTCGAATCCTCATTCGATGCCACGAACGCCTCGCACTGCCTGTGCGCTCGGGAAGTCTGTGCTCAGCACAGTCGCCAGCATTACTAGCAAGTTCAGCGGTATAATGACCCCAATGGCGCAATCTCAAGGTTGTTTACTTGGGTTTTGATCAGCCGTGTAAGCTCGTGAGGTCTTGTAGAAGGGTGACGTTGGTCTGCGGGAGAAGACCTATCATTTCACCGTAGGAAATCCCAGAACTGGAACATCATACGCACATATTATTGAGGTAGTGCTACCAATATCCGTACTATATTTTCAAGCCACAAAAGGGAAGCAGAAAGCCCCGGATCGAACTCCGCTCACCGACTTCCTAAAGAGGGAATCATCTACAAATCAACCCCACGATTTCGCGAGTCTTGCCGACTCGAGTCCAGAATTGAATGTCATTGCATCAGCTGAGCACCAGCCATTCTTGATAAGGGCGTAGGCGCAGAATCAACCGACATCGACCGTCGCTTTCTTCCATCCAAATATCTCCCTTCTAACTACAACTTATGTATCAATAACCACCATCATGGACATCATATAGCGTACCGCCTTCCCGTTATCTGTCCCTGTCTTGAACAAGTTAGACGGCTCAACAATTCTCAACAAGCCGAAGTGCCTCTCAAAAGCCCTTGGGTTAGTTAGCCTTGCATTGCGGGCGCGATAATACCTACCTACCTAGATAGACCTCCTCCTCCTCCTCCCCTCGCCCCAAACAGAAGAACAAACACACAACAATGACGCGCGCTATCCGACCGCTCAGAAAAGCTGCGCGAATCATCCTTATAGGTGCACCTGGCGTCGGAAAAGGAACACAAACAGAGCGACTCCTCACGAGATTCCCCGACCTAGCCTCCATAAGCTCAGGCGATCTCCTCCGGGAAAATGTGCGGAGGAAAACACCCCTAGGTATGCTGATTCCCATTGGCACAATTTCCTGGAATTGTTGCGACAATGGCTAATGCTCTTTTTTCTCTCCTGCGATAGGTCTCAAAGCCGAGGCCGCAATGCAGTCCGGTAACCTTGTCCCCGATTCGATGATTCTCGAGCTTATATCGTCGGAACTCGAGTCCAAAGGCTGGCTTCCTCCACCCACAGCCACAGCCACATCAACGACAGCAGCAGCAGCAGCCGCCGCCGCACCTAACTCCACGTCGGTCTCTGCCAATGCCTCCTTCATCCTCGACGGATTTCCTCGCACCGCGACGCAGGCGTCAAGCCTCGACAACCTCGTGCCCGTGAACTTCGTCGTCCACCTCGTCACACCTCCATCCGTCATTCTCTCCCGCATAGGGTCGCGCTGGGTCCACGAACCGTCCGGAAGAGTCTACAATGCCGATTTCAACGCGCCCAAGGTTCCCGGCAAGGATGATATCACTGGCGAGCCGTTGACCCAGAGACAGGACGACTCGATCGATACGTGGAAGCAGCGGCTGCACAAGTTCGAGGAAACGAGCAAGGCTCTGCTAGAGCACTACCAGCGCAAGGGCTGCCTCTGGCGCGTTGAGGGCGACTCGAGCGATGAAATCAGTCCCAAGCTTTTCGCAGAGATTGAACGACACTTCTGTTAAGTGTCTTGTGTGCTCTCCCTGGCTGCCTATATCGGACACGTTTTTTTGTATCATACATATCTATTTCTCTTTGTTCGGGGTTTTTTTTCCTTTTCAGCTTTTTGCATTACTGCGGTCCTTGATGGATTGCAGGCATGAATGAGCATGCCTTTCTATATGTTCTACCCTCTTTGCGGCTAGATAATGTCTTATTTAAGACAGCTTGCATCACTTGTGTGGCCAAAATGACTTATGTGTCAGGTCTTAACGGAGATTACGATATGCCAATGCCAACGCCCACCCAAATCAGGGCGTCCTCATGGAATGTCTTCGTCAACGAACACGAATATTCATGGATGAACTCGATGTGCAAGCTTAAGATATCGCCGGGATATATGAAAATGAGCCGTATCGTCATAAGCGCGTAGACGTTGTAATCTGCCTCGAAACAAGGGAATGGGGGCACGCGATAATTGACCCATCCTTCCCTGGCAAACATCTCCCCCCTCGTTGCTGTTTCTAAGTCTTCTTCGTCTCCTCCTTCACCTGTATCGGGTTCTCCAGCCCCATCCGTGTCTTATAATCCCGGGGGCTCTCCCACGCCTTGTTGCGGCGGAACCCCTTCCACATCCCCAACCCGCGGAGCTTGGCCCACCGCTCCGCCTGCCGGTACTTGCGCTCGGTCGCGGTGCCGCCGAATTCCGCGCCGGACTTGGCCTCGTAGACGGTCGCGAGCCCCTTCCGCAGCATCTCGTACGAGACATCGCGCCGCCGGAAGGGGATGGGGAAGTCGAGGGCCCGCCGCACCACCACCGTCGCGACCACGCGCTGGTACTGATCGTGGCGGTGGACGTACGCGCGCACCCGCCGATTGCTCAGGTAGGCCGTGAGCCACTCGTGGGCTTCCTTGCTGAACGGCTGCGCGGGCCGACCGAAGTGCGCGAGTTCGGGGGCGTCGATGCCGGCCAGACGGATGTGAATCTTTTGATAGGTCCCGAAAATAAGAGTTAGGTCGGTGGCCAGAAACAAATAAGCACGGAGAGAAGGGGCCAGGAAATCGGTGGAATATTGAATGTAGCTCTCGCCCCGGCCATTATTCCCCTCTCCCCCCCCCGCGAAGTAGGAATTCACCCGCAAGGTAACAAAACATACCGTCTTATCCCTCAACTCCTTCTTCGACGTCGGAACCTTCTTCCACGGCAACCACCCCCACCCGGCCAACCGGCCCCCGGGCGTATGATACAGCCGGAAGTTATCCCCGTCGCCGACGCTCGTCACCCGGCCCAGAATACTCCTGCGCCGCATGTACGAGGGTAGGATGCTGCTCGCGTCCGGGAACCAGCGCAGGTAGCGCCCGTGGAGGCCCACGGCGCCGAGGATGCCGGTCGTCAGGATCCCCGTGGCGATCAGGGTTCGGGGCTCGGCGAAGGCGCGCCAGTCGATGATGTTGGCGTAGGAGTGCCGGTCATTGTTGTTGTCGTCGGTGGTGGGAGACTTGGGAGCCCATGGCGGCCATCTCATCACGGCTCATAGTCCTCCCCCGCTTGGTGTGAGGCTTTCGCTGGGTTTGGTGGGGGGGTTTTTTTTCTCTGGGAATGGAGGAGGGAGGGGTTTGGGAGACGAGGGCGGAGTTGGTTTGGTTTAGGGGGGTTTGGTGCCGGTTTGCTGAGTGTTGATTAGCGGTGAGAGGAGGTTGAGTTGAGTTCAGGGTGTTTTGGTTTTCGGCAGTTGGGTAGTTGCCGAGGTGAACTGCGGCCCTGCGGATATATGTCTAGACTATAACTTAGTAGTTATCCGCTCTCTTGGGTTGAAGGGTGCTCTCGAGATTGTGGAAATTCTACAGATTTCATATTTCGTTTGTTCTGGGTTGACTCTGGTGTCTACCAAAATATATAATTGAATCTTTGCATATTGTAATGGTTCTATGGAGATACCAGCATATACATTATGATCAATGTTGCACGACTGGGCGTGCTCGGTATATGAATTGTCAAAGCATGAATGTAACCAAGTTCCAAGGTCGTCAAATCGATGGTCAATAGAATGTAGTGAAGTCTAGTGACATGTCTGTTATAGGGTGAAAATAGTAAGGAGCATATATGTGGATCTGAGGTAGTAAGAAGAAGTGATAGAAATCATTTCAAGGTAACTGGCAGACTGGTCTTGGCTGTCGATGTTGCGGAATCCACTACCTTCTTGAGCTTCTGCGCCCGGAGTTTGCGTAGATAGGCGAACAGAAGGACGAATATGAGTTCAACACTAAAAATGATCAGTTGCTGCTAATGAGCATACTTGGAGACGAGCTCACCGTTCTTTCGTCATCATCAATAGACCCTGCACGAGGAGGCCCTTAGTGATCTGAGGTCCGATGCCCTTGAAGAGAGACAGCGCTCCTTCATTTTTGATAATGTACCGCATGACCTCGCTGAAGGTCTTGAAGGGCTTGCCTTCACGGCCGGGGGGCGGCCGCGACTGAAGGCCGACCTTGGCCACGATCAAGGGCTGCGTCGCAAGCGTGGCCAAAGACTTAGAAAGGGCACCAAGGACTGAGAGGAAGAGAGACAATCAGCATGAGTGAACATCAAATTGGAAGATACGTGAGCTACTCACGAAATGCCTCCCAAGGCTTTAGGCTGGCCTTTCCAGGAAACAGGACATCCTTCAACCGCTGATATGCCCCGTATGTGATCGCGGGATTGACAACGAGGATCAGACTAGCCTTGAGTCCCCGCCACAAACCAGTCCAGCCGTCCTCACTGTCCACGATCTCTCTACCCGTCTCGATCAGGCCTCTGCGCTCGCTCTTGTCTTGCGTCTGTTGCCTTGTAGTAATGACAGATACCGGGATAGTGAAGATCTGGGCGACAGCGCCGGCGACAGCGCCCAGCGAGAGCTCAATTGCGGTACCAGGAGGCTTAGGTACCTTGTTGGATGCCATGTAGAGCGATCGTACAATGGTGTACCAGTAGAAATAGGCGAAGTTGGTGGATGCAACACCGATCAAAGCCCCCGTGATACCGGAATATAGACCTTCGACACCCTCCTTCTCCACAATCTTGTTGATGGCATCCAGAGTTGATTTATAGTGCACCGTCTCATCGGAGCTTTCTTTCTTCGTCTCGTCCGCTTGTTTCACTTGCACTTGAAGTTTGGTTTTCACACTAGGAGTAGAGTAACATAACCAATTAGCTCAAATCCACCGCGTTACATTGCATGCCAGAGAAATACGGAGGATCAATCGCTCACAGATCAAGAGGGTAGACCATTGCGTTTGCAAGCACGGCACCCGTAGCACCTGCAACGGCGCTGCCCCACGGCGAGAGCGCGGGTTTTGATTGACCGGCCATTTTGTGTAGACGAGATGAGGCAATGTGCCGTTATTTTTGAGAGGAGATTGATGGTGAGGACAATATCAGTCACTGTGAATATCCTCCAGCGCAAGACCGATATCGCCTAATATTAAGTAAGAGTCGAATGCTAATTTCCCTCACCTGGAGGTCTAGCGGTGCGGAATAACTGGGGCCTTGATCGTGAGCGGGGGGGGGGGGGGGGGGGGGGGGGACGGGAGAGTCAACGTAGCGCGCCAGAACCACGATAGAACTTGTTAAATGTTACAGCAGTGGATAGATAGTAAGGGTCAGAGATCAGACTTGTCCAGCGAGAGGAAAAGAAGAATAAGTGAGGAGCCTCAAAGCGCATTGGAAGAAAGAGAAAATGAGACATGACCAAAGCAGTCCAGAAATCCAGAAAACTAGAGTGATCTGCTGCAAAGAACCAGCCGGGGGTTTCCCATCGCACCTCGGCGTGGTTGATCGTCGGTGCTCGCATGACGAAACGAGCCGAGGTCCGTTACTCTTATCGGTCTGGGGCGTGGACTTCTCCAGGCTCCATTCCCGTCCCTCTTCTCCGATCCATGATCCAAACAAGAGTCAACTTTTTAAGGTTCTTTCACCTGGTACACCTGTATGTCATACTGCACGGAGAATGAATATATCTTGTTATAGACTGGTCACCATTGATCTGGCCCCCAGGCAAGGATTCTGTACAGTGTACAGTGTACACCATGCATCCTCTCAACCTGTCTGACTCGAGGCTGGCTTTATCATTACCTAATTAGGCGGCTTTAGACGGAAGTCCCATAGTTTCTACTTGTCATTGAACCGGTCAACAAAAAGGGAGCTTGGGCTCGAAGCCTGAAGCCTGGGGTTCACAGTTGTACATCACTGCACATCACAGCTTTCTGTCCAAGCAAACAAGAAAGCTTTCTTCACATTCGGTGCATGTAACTCTTACTATAATGGACACATGGAACAGGAGTATGTGAATGCCTTATACTCAAACACATGGCGGTATAGCACGGCAGAATAACAGCAAGGGAAGATGAGCAGCTGCCTGAGAGGGCAGGAAGCGGGTCCCGCACTGAGCGTGATACCATTCATCTTCGTTAGTGACAGACTATCGGAACTGACTCAACTGCAAACACCCTTCCTTATCAATCTTATCACTATTTGCCCTATTGCACCTTGCTCGGAATGCTCCGCGGCGCGTTCACTGCTCAGCTTCTCATCGCTGCTGGATGATACTCGTTGCTGTGTTATTAGACATTCTAGAATCTTGCTCTCACACACACCAGCATGTCTCGAGCTGCTACTGCTTCACAGAACTTGCAAATTAGCCAAGCCTTGGTCAGAAGTCCCGGTCCCTAAGCTCATCTGCAATTCAAATTAAGAGCATCTTGGATTGACGATGATACAGACAGCCGAGGAAGATGTACTTGCCGCTACATCTCAAGCCGAGGCTCTTGAAGCAGCTATCAACGCCGCCGAGCACTACATGAAAGCCTTAAGCTTGTCGTCAACCTCAAAGGACAAAAAAGCTCTGGACGCTAAGTGCAAAGATTGGCTTCTCCGGGCCGAAAGAATCAAGGTAGCGAAAGATTGGCGCCTTGCGATTCTCGACCATGGCAGCAATGACCCAGTGACTCGTTACCCTAGATCGGTGCGCAAACTCACAACTCGGGAGGAAATCATTCTTCTCGAGAGTGCAAAATTGAACCATGCGATCTTTCCACCATGGTCAAGTGCTCCAGGATTTGAGGAGTTTGAACGTCAACTTGGGGAGGACCTCTTTACGTATGTGGAGTAATTATGCGCTTCAGCACAAGAATCAATCTGACCTGGACCAGAGACTCGCCCGAACTCCATCTCTCAAACCAACAGAGGGATGTTTTTGCGGGCTGGAAACGACCAAAGGAGCTCCTTTTGCAAAAG